AATTACAACAATACATCTGGCAGCATGAACACAAGTTGGATGACGTGTTGCTGCATATCTCATCACGACATGACGGGTGGATCTCAGGCCAACTACAGTGGTAGAGTAATTTTAACAATAAATATGGCAGCATGAACACAAGATGGATGACGTGTTGCTGCACATCTCATCACAACATGACAGATGGATCACAGGTCAACTACAGTGGTAGAGTAATTACAGCAATAAATCTGGCAGCATGAACACAAGTTGGATGACGTGTTGCTGCACATCTCATCACGACATGACAGATGGATCTCATGCCAACTACAGTGGTAGAGTAATTACAGCAATTAATCTGGCAGCATGAACATAAGTTGGATGACGTGTTGCTGTACATCTCATCACAACATGACAGGTGGATCTCAGGTCAACTACAGTGGTAGAGTAATTACAACAATACATCTGGCAGCATGAACACAAGTTTGATGACGTGTTGCTGCATATCTCATCACGACATGACGGGTGGATTGTAGGTCAACTACAGTGTTAGAGTAATTACAACAATACATCTGGCAGCATGAACACAAGTTGGATGACGTGTTGCTGCATATCTCATCACGACATGACGGGTGGATTGTAGGTCAACTACAGTGTTAGAGTAATTACAACAATAAATCTGGCAGCATGAACACAAGTTGGATGACGTGTTGCTGCACATCTCATCACGACATGACAGATGGATCTCATGCCAACTACAGTGGTAGAGTAATTACAGCAATTAATCTGGCAGCATGAACATAAGTTGGATGACGTGTTGCTGTACATCTCATCACAACATGACAGGTGGATCTCAGGTCAACTACAGTGGTAGAGTAATTACAACAATACATCTGGCAGCATGAACACAAGTTTGATGACGTGTTGCTGCATATCTCATCACGACATGACGGGTGGATTGTAGGTCAACTACAGTGTTAGAGTAATTACAACAATACATCTGGCAGCATGAACACAAGTTGGATGACGTGTTGCTGCATATCTCATCACGACATGACGGGTGGATCACAGGTCTACTACAGTGGTAGAGTAATTACAACAATAAATCTGACAGCATGAACACAAGTTGTATGACGTGTTGCTGCATATCTCATCACAACATGACAGGTGGATTACAGGTCAACTACAGTGGTAGAGTAATTACAACAATAAATCTGGTAGCATGAACACAACTTCAGTGGTGGAGTAATAACTGGATGCTGGAAAAAAAGAACTTTAATGATCAACGATATTGTTTTAAAACAATCCCAAAACAAAATTAGCCCGTTTGCAATGATCGCAGTAGACATCTTTAATATGAAGATTAGGTTTTTAAGATTTTAAAATTGTAACCATGTTCGTGTCTTGAATATATACAGATTAACTTGATAACGTATAATCCATACAAACACACGTTATTGCTTATTGGTACGTTAACATAAAGCATAGTTGATGATGATTCAAGAGTATGTCGTTAAGTTTTAGGATAAACAAGCGACTTGGATTTATGAATACAATTTTCCCGGTGAACGATTGAAAAGTTTGAAATATAGTAAAAACTCGCACTCGAACTCAAACTGCGGTGTAAGTTACTGAGAAGCCTTCCTCTACACTGGAGTAAAACTGTGAGATAATTAAATACAGCGTTCGAGGTTTTGGAAGGGGAAGGAGCTTTTGAAAGTTTTAGCAAAGTGGTAAAGGAGGGTTAAATGTATAACGGAGGGTGGAAGCACTAACAGGTTATTCGTCTTATCAAACAAGGATTAGAACGTCGGAGTCGTATCTTTCCTTGGCTGTGTTAAGAACTTGAGGAAAGCAAAACATTTACATATCGTTAAAAAAGTTCACAAGAACTTGCATGGTTTAAAATGTTTGTGCTAATAGAATATTATGTTTTAGGGTATGCGTACCAATTGGATCAATTCGCAAGTTAAGTAATTAAATCGCGGCGACATTTGCATATGATTCGCCATGCGTGTTCTTTCTCCTGACAATGTAGGTCAGTCGGTTTAATCGCGCCCATTCATGAACGACATGTCGCACGCAATCCCTACGTTCGCCCGACAATAGTGCGTCATTTACGCAAACTGGTAAATTAAGATTATCTCCCCCGGTTAGGCACGCTTTAATCTCTTTAACGATGTTTTAACACTTTTAATGATTTTAATGATGAACGTGAAGTAATTTTTTAAATTATGGTTCGTAAACTGGTGGAATTTAAACAAGGTTGATTACACCGGAAACATAGTTGAAAACCTTCCTGTTTCAGGTTTATTGTTTCATAATTTTGATTATTAGTCAATCTTATATGTTATTCCAAATACTGTGACAGATTTGTTGAGTTTATTTCCAATAATCGCAAGCTGCGCTCACCCTAGTTGATGACGTGTTCGACACCCTCCAGAAATAACACTAATATTTCACACTATAAAAACTAGGCGAGGCTAATTGATGGAGGCGGTTTAATTTAGGCGCGGTCGACTTCCAGATGTTGGGTCGTCATCTTCGCCCCTCCTAGGGTCTATGTTTGATTATGCCTTATGATCTATAGGGAGTCTGTCTTGAAGTAACTCGTTGATTACCAACCGGTGTAATCATATAACAACCAAAGAAGGATGCACTTTAAACTCTAGTGAGATACCCACCCGAAAATAGACTAATTAATTTACTTTACGATAGAATAAGTGAAAAATCTCCCACCTAGGTTGGCGTGCGAAGTAGAAGTTCGAGAACTTATCTGCAGGAGAACGGCAGATAAGCGAGGAGGGCGTGGTAGCACGGTGACCGAGTGAAAATTGAGAAATCATTGAAAACCTCCTTTAACCATTTACATTATGATTGCAGAATAATGTTATCATTTGGTCAAGTCAATTGTAGCTGGATGGCAATTTTTCGAGACATCATGTTTGTGGGACCGAGCGAATATTAAAGAACCCAAACTTGGTGACTTGGCATGTCCATACCCATGCATGGAACCGTATACAACCATGAAGTTGATAATTTAGCTTTACCTTCGAAATAATACATCATTACTTAATAGTATTTTCGTTAAGATTCCACCTTGGCAAAATTTAAACATTGAATACCTCAACATTTATCTTTCATTTTACAGCAATAATAAATCAAAAAGATATATTAAGTTCATTATACTGTATATAATTTAATACAGGATACACAAACATTTATTATGAAAATCCTCAGAAGTAGGTAATTACAAAGAGGTTTACCTCCATCAGGCAAGCATAGTCAACAATAATTGGTGGCTATGTTTACTGACTTCCGACTCAGTTAAAATATCAAATATCTTTCCATTAATTATGAAGAGCACTCCGCTGAAACGACTTTACTATCACAAGAGAGATTCAATTTAGATATTAAACGAGGATTGTTCATAAAAGCGCGATACTCCTCGCCTCACTCGAGATTTTCCTTATTTGGGATCGTTTTTAATTAAGCAACACAATGCGAGGTTAATTGTTTGTGGTGTGTTTGTACAGATAGTGAAACCTTTTGTCGGCAAAGGGATTAATGGGATCCCTACTCACGTCAACACGCTATGCAGGGGGAGTGACTGTACCTGGTGGAGCTTTCTGTATGCGCAAAACAGGGGTGATGTACTGATTGAAACATTATGTATTGTTATTATATTAATACCTTCTATAATTGACTTCATTTTTGGATTTGACACATTAAAATACAGTGAAGTTTTAAAGGGCATTCCAAATGGAACACCCCCACTCTAGGATATCCTAGGGGTATTCCCATTTTTAGTGGGCATTCTTCACATCTTTGGACGCTATTCTGGGGCAGTTTTACCCAAAACTTCAGGCTAAGGGTCAGAAGTCGTGAAATTATCACAAACCGAACATCCATTGGTGATTGGCGGGATTTGAATCTACGACGTCGACGACAGAGGTAAAATCTACCTCCGGACCAGCTACAACTAGTGGATTTACATTAAAGTTTAATTTATAAATAATACAGTTAAAATGAAGCAATTTAAATTTGACAATTATTTGTTACAAGACACAAATACTGGTGATAGGCCAGTACTTCCAAAACTAGACTCTTAAAAAAGTATGTTTATTTAATTTCAAAATGTTAAATGCACATAAAATCAATAACCACAAAATGTAAAAAAAAAACAATTTGCAAGAATACTAATGTTAGTAATCACCTTCTGAAAAAGGTGTTAGCAAATATAATAGCACAATTACTTGTAAACAGATGGCTTTGCAATTCTGTTGGATGTACCTGACTACTCAGGCCAGAACCTTGGGAATAGAGCAGTTGTGTTGCAGCATTCTGTGGTTAACCATCGGAGCAAATTCGAATAATGAACATCTATTAGAATAGTCTTCCTATAAAATACTATTTTATATGATTATGTTGATCCAGAGGCTAAACATGTTCTGATTATGTATATTGAATAATTAAATATTGAAAATACAGTTAAATTTAAAGGTGAAACAAGTGTCAAACAGTGTTTGGTATTTTAGTTTCAACTCCAAAAGATTTTGCTAATATTGGTTAATGTAACAAATACCATTATTAATATTTTGAATGCCTTCTTAACTGCTAAAAAGTCTTTTTTGAGTAAAGTTTCAGATTTTATAACTTGACAACTAATATCCGACACACTACAGCTACATCCCAATTCATAGTAATACTAAGACTTACATGATGCGTTACTGCAACTAATATAAAAGTCTTGGAAACTATCGGTAAAGAAACTAGACATTGCATGAGTTAGTGAACTTTACTTGATTAAACTTGCATTCATTTTTTATTAATTTGAAGAAACTTAAGCTCGTGATGAAACATGTTTGCTAAATTCTACATCTTTTTGTTTTGTACTAGTAAATTATTGAAATTGAAACAATGTTGTAAGAGGGGGTTGTTATAAAATGTATATACATTGGATTGTTAACAACATGTTTGAACTACTTTAGCCGGAACATAACTTGTACTGAACAAGCACAGAGTTAAATTCTGGAAAACGCAATTTAAAAAAAAATATTAATAAATATAATTTAATAAAAACTAAATTAAAATAGTTAATGCAAACACTGCTCTTAAACTATTGTAACCTACATATACCTACCGTACACAAATACAGTACGAACAATGTAAAACAACTGAACAAGTTAATAAATCAATTGCAGAAACCATTAACAATTTATAAACAGAACTAGATCTGCCCTAAATTTATTGTAGCCTGCATTTATCAAAATTAAATAACGGAAAAGTTCATCTAATTTTCATCTAATCATTTTTTCATCTAATTTTAAAAACAATTATAAAGATTGGCTATCAACTTATGGTTCTATGATTTGATTTAATTAATTAATGGACGTATTAACTATACATATTATATCTTAACTATTGTGATCTATCTTTAAAGATAAAATGCATGTATGATTATGTAAATTATTAAA